TGGAGTGCAGGGACCAGCTGTCGTAGCTCCGGACGGCCGAGGCCGAGGTGCTGCTCATGCTTTTCTTGATGCGGCCGAAGCTGTCGGTCAGGATGCCCCCTTCCCGGATGCCGATGCCCTCCAGGAAGCCCTCAAAGTACCCGATGTCCTGGTCAGGGATGAAGGGCCGCATTCCTGCAGAGGGAGAGAGGAAGAAGGAGGGGGTCCTTGGTGCTCTCTGAGCTGGGTGGTGGTTTTTTCCCCCCAGACGTTTCACAACCCTTCTAGGTAACATCATCAGGGCTAGAAAGGATTTGCAGAGAGGAGGAAGAGGGGGAAGGAGGGAGGGGGGAATCTGTGGTGCTTTCTGTGGTTGGTGGTTTTTTTTTGCAGATATTCCACTCCCAACTATGCAACAATACAGAGTTTTCTTTCTCTTCTTCCCCCTTTTCTCCTCTTCCTCCCTTTTCTTCTTTCTCTTTCTTTTCTCCTCTTACTCTTCCTCCCTTCTCCTCCCTTCTCCTCTTCCTTCCTTCTCCTTTTTCTCCTCTTCCTCCCTTCTCCATTTCTTCCTCCCTTCTCCTGCTCTTCCCTTTTCTCTTCCTCCCTTCTCCTTTTTCTCCTCTTCCTCCCTTTTCCTCCATTTCCCCTTCCTCCCCTCCTGCTCTTCCTTTTCTCTTCCTCTTCCTCCATTCTCCGCTTCCTCTTCCCTTCTCTTCCTCTTCCTCTTCCTCCCTTCTCCATTTCCTCTTCTTCCCTCTTCCTCCTTTTCCTCCTTTTCCTCCCTTTTCTTCCCCTTTCCTTTCCACTTCTCTTCTTCTTCCACCCTTCTCCATTTCCTCGTCCTCCCTTCTCCTCTTCCTTTTTCTCTTCCTCCCTTCTCCTCCTTTTTCTCCTCTTCCTTCCTTCTCCTCCATTTCTTCTTCCTCCCCTCCTGCTCTTCCTTTTCTCTTCTCTTCCTCCCTTCTTCTCCATTTCCTCTTCCTTTCTCCTCTTCCCTTTTCTCTTCCTCTTCCTCCTTTCTCCTCTTCCCTTTTCTCTTCCCTTTTCTCTTCTCTTCCTCTTCCTCCGTTCTCCATTTCCTCTTCCTCCCTTCTTCTCCTTCTTCTCCTCTTCCTCTCTTCTCTTCCTCTTCCTTTTTCGACTTTTCTGATTGATAAGCTCAGCGTCTTAGCCACTGAGCCGCCCCTTGGTTTCCTACTACACTGGCTTAAAAAAAACTAAACAAACAAACAAACAAACAAACAAACAACAAACAGGTTGAAGTGACACAACTCCACAACCCCACAACCCCACCCCCATTCACACAAACTTTCATTGGGTGAAAACAAAGAATTTTCCCTCTCTGAACCGGCATTGTTCAAAATCTACATGATTGGAATTGGCATTTATTCGAATTATTCGAACAGGCATTTATTCGAATTGATATCACAGGTAGTCCTCAACTTAAAACAATCCATTTAATGACAGTTCAAAGTTATAACGGAACTGGGGGGGAAGTGACTTACGACTGTGCTCCACACTTATGACCGTTGCAGCATCCCGATGGTCACATGATTTTAAAGTCAGATGCTTTATCAACTGACTCATACTTATGACGGTTGCAGTGCCGAGGGGTGGGGTGGGGCATTACATGATCCCCTTTTGCGACCTTCTGACCAGCGAAGTCAAAGAGGAAGCCAGATTCACTTAACAACCGGGTAACTAACTTATCAACTGCAGTGATTCGCTTAACAACTAAGGCAAGAAAAATGGGGGCAAAACCTATGTGACAAATGTCTCACTTAGGGACGGAATTGTTGGGCTCAATTGTGGTCGTAACTGGAGGACTACCTGCATTTGAACTGACCTGGTTTAAACTTGTTTGAAATGGTAATATAAATGGCAAGAAATCGCCCTGACTTATTGCCATGAATAAAAACCTCACTTTGCTTTCATTTCATTTCATGAATTCCAAATTTCTGAAACTTGCCAGGATGACCAGCAAGTTTTCAATGCAGAAGGGCTGGATCTCACAGCCATCCAGGGGAAACCAGGTGCAAGGCAAGAGGGAATTAGAGCCCTGAGGGAAAAGGGGTCAAAAAAGTCAAGATGGCGCCCATCACGTGACCCCCCCAAACCCTGGGACTTTCAATGCATGTGGACGCACATCTTGAACCTCCCGCAAATCAAATTATTTCCCCGCTTCCAGAGATAGATTAAGGTGACACAGACGTCCCGATTTTTGCGGGACAGTCACGATTTCTCACAATTTGTCCCGCGTCCCGGGGCGTTCTTAAAAAGTCCCGATTTTTGTGACCGGACCCGGAAGTAAGCCTGCCCTGCCCCCAGCCCTGTAGATGCATTTACCCAAAAGGAGAAATTTACGCTTGTCCCCGTAGAGATTGAGGAGTCTGGTGCAATACCGCTCCACCGCTAAGCCCATCCGGTATTCGCGGAGCAGGAGGGCGAATCCTTGGATCTCCTGGGGGGTCAGCTTGCTTCGCAACTGTGGGGCAAAAGAAGGGGACCTGTTATAGGGAGGGAAAGCCCTACCGGATCCCCTTCAGCCTCCTCCCACCGCTTCCTAGAGCAAGGATCTTCAAACTTAAAGCAACTTTTAAGATTTGCGGACCTCAACTCCCAGAATCCCGCAGGAAGCAGGTCTCCAATTTGGCCGCTTTAAGGCTTG